CCCCCCCTAAGAGAATATGCCAAGGCAGACAATAAAATCAAGTTGGATTACATGTAAACAAATTTAGGTTTAAGATAAACGAATGTAATAATAATAATAATTGAAAGAACTATTAAAATTGTGAGTTTCTCTTCGGTAACTATTTATATTCAAATATATTTAAATCATTAATCATTAATCATTAGATGATGGGCACAATCAACAGGATCCCATTATTTTTAGTTCATATTCCCCAAGTAATTAGAAATTGTCTTTCACATTAGCAAATTCCTTTAAAAGCTGACGCTCTCTCCCACTCTCTCTCTCACTCTCCTTGTCTCTCTCATTTTCACTCCGCGCAGTCGCGAACCGAAGGTTGAAGAGATTCGGCAAACTGAAAAGTCAAAGCCGAACCACTTCGAAAAAGAGGACCAAATGGCGTTTTCTGCCCGCGATTTCTCAACTAATGAGAGATGGATAGAGAAAGGGGAAGGGAGGGTGAGAATGAGAAAATCTCGTGACGTTCGCGTGTTGCCTTAAACAAGAAGTAAAATCAACCTGGCTGCTGGCTGTTGAGCAAAATAGCCCAAATATTCGCGCTGAGCCAAGGGACATAGATTTTCTTAGCTATATGATACACGTGCCCAAAGTGCAAATGTGTGTGCTACATGTGTGTGTGTGAAAGCTGAAGTTGGCAAATGTAATAGAAACCGGGTAGCAGCAGCAGCAGCAGCAATAGCAACAGCAATTGCTACACATAAACATGGCTAACACGCACACACGCATACACACACACACACACATGTGTGTGTGCTTTGTCTAAATGCCTGACACTGGGGCCGAGAGTGTGGCACGTGCGGAAGTGCAGCGAGAAGAATGTATGCAGCGTTTAGTATTCGTGGCATATTGCGGCTTTACCTTTGAGTCGCGCACTTGCTGAAACTTCAATGCATCTTCCTCAACGAGCTGGGCCTGCTCCAACTCGAACTCTGACAATCTAAGCAGTTTACTGTGTCAATATGCTGCGCAGCTCTTCAGGCGCCGCCCTCCTCCCTGCGCCTCCTGCTGCGCTTCTTCTTTCTGTGGCCCATCTCAAATTCCCAATCCCCTAGCTGGCGCATCCATAACTTATGCATGCAAATGTTCGCTCCTCTCCTTGTTGACTTCGAAAAGGTAAAAGACAAAAGCGACAGGAACAACAAAAACGAAAAAACTGAAACTAGAGCAAAACATAGAAGAAAAAAAAAAAAAAACCTGAGATAGGGAATGAAATAAAAAATGCAGCTGAAATTTGTGCAAAATGCGGTTATTGCAGCGATTATTTTAATGGCCCTTCTCAGTTGCAGACAGCGCTCAGACCCAACGCACTTGCGTCTAGTTCATTCTGCAAGCCAACAGCCCTGAAGGAATGCAGAGCCTTTGAGTTGACATTGCCTAACACACATTCCCAGCCTTACCATGCTAAGGAGCATAATGAATACGTTGAGTTTAATTATTAGGCTTGCATAAATATATATAACTTTCTACTAATACTCTTGTATATCAATGACATTCGCTATGCTAAAGAGCATATTGAATACTCTGAATTTAATTTTTAAATTCACATTTCAATTCGGATTTCTGCATAAAGCTTTCTGCTTTTACTCGTACTCTACAATGCGAATTGAAACTTATTCTTGTTAACAGTATTGCCAATCATTTTTGTCCACATAACAAGGTGCCAGATGCTCACAGCTCCAATGAATCCATGTTACAATAGGAAATTGTATTCGAAATGGCATTCGTCTCAGATTTCGTTACACAGAATGAAGAAACGAATATGTGAGGAAACTAGGAAACAGAAAAGTAATCAATGAATAGTGGCCATATAACAGCAGCAGTATCAAATGATTAATGAAAGTTTTCTTAAAATAATATTTTGATATTTTGTTATGCAATATTTTTAAAAGGCATTTATGAGAAGCTGGAAAATAGAACAGTAAGCAAGGAATAAATCAATAAGTTAAATATTCTATATTGATGTGTAACTCATGGGAAAGCCAATTTAATTTGAAAAATAAAATACCGATTATGAATATTAGACCCTATATATTATAGGAAGCTTTTGAATATGATGTGAAGATCGAATAAAACTTTCAAAAAGAATAAAATTTTTTAATGAAAATTTATCAAATGAGCACGCAGAGGATCCAACTAATAATATTATAACATTAAACATGTAATTATTATATATACATATATGAACTCACAGAATACAAACTTGAAATTGACTCTGATCTGCTCCAATTATGAATGCATATATTTTGAGTCTCATAAAACCACAAATATAACTTAATTAAAAACAACAAGAGTCTCGCTTGGAAAACAATAAAATATGCGTGAATAGCTAATTCAATTGGGCTCCGGGCCCAAATAATGGCAGCTGAATATGTGTGTCAACCTGTGCTCATTTCACCGAGTCGAATGAAAGCGTATTTGCCGCACATAAATAAATAATTCGAGCCGCTGGAAATTATTTCCACAAAATTAAGCACGCGAATATTCCTTTATTCGGTTTTATTTTATTTCATTTTTTGTGGTTATGCTGAATGCTAAATATCAAGTATACGCCCAGCGCTGCAACTTCCGCCCTCCCCCCCGCTCAAACGCTGTGACATACACTTTCATAACTCAACACAAAGTTCAGGAGCAATTTTCCTCAGAGTTTTGCATTTTCTTTTTAATTTACGCTAAATACTGCAGCGACATTCGAGTCACAGCTGCAGTTACAGGCACTGCCACGCCCACAATGCTCAAGGGGGCAGCGATTGCTGGATGGCTGCTTATATTTTATTTGTTGGCAAAAATTGCATTCATGAATAATTCAGTGAAGCGAAAAATTTGCGTTCCCAATGCCTCACTTTATATATATATATATTTGTAAGTATGTATGTATATATATATTTCATTTTATTTCACTTTTTGAGCGGTATTTTTGCGCGAATAAAAAAACTACAAGATGGAAGTTATTTTTACTTTTGTGCATGGCAGCATCCGCCGCTGTGGCTGGCTGTCCAACATGTTTTGTAATGTGTGGGTGTTATCAGCGTTTCGGGTTAATATTTAATGTAAAGGCGGCCACCATTGCGGTTGTGTTGATGATGCTCCCGAAAACCAGGCGAAGCCAACCACAAGCCCAGCCCAGCCCAGTCCGGTCCGGCCCTGCCCTGCCCTGCCCTGCCCCGTCAAGTGGCTGGCTATGTAAATGTGTTTGCCCGGAAACGGAAACTGTTTATGCAGATCGAATATGCAGCGAACACTTGTACGCGCCTTGCTGGAATTTATGCTGCTGTTTGTGTCCACTTTGGCATTTTTGCCAATGCACTCGCTGCCAGCCGAAACGCGTGCCCATTATGCGAATTATAATTGTAAATGTATGCAGTATTTTGCTGAGTGTACAATAACTTTGCCACATTTTCCAGCATATCAATGCCAATGACACTGAATATGCAATTCGCCTTCTGCGCTGCTCTGCTCTGGCCGTGCCACAGAAACATGCAACATTTCCCATGACAGGCAACTTAAACCCAAAATCTAAGTGCTTGCATTGCCTGCTTTATGCTTCTTGAAATATTTGTACAACCTGAACTTGCAAGAAATGGGAGAGTTTTTGATAAAGTTCGTGTAACAGAAAAAGAAGTGGAATATTCAATGTATTGTCTGAGTTATTACAAAGGCGAGGCAGTCAGCGCAGTGATCCCACCCACCTCAACCACGCAAGCTGGATGCAATTTGATGTACGTACCCTTTCTTGTATGTCATATGCCGGGTACGGGCTTATGTATATTTTGTTAATTTTTTTAATTTACAAAATAATGTATTTTATTTTATTTAACAACTTTCGATATTAAAAGCTTATGCTTATTTGGAATCACTGTTTCAAAATAATTTTGTTGTCTTTTATTGATTTAATTTAAATTTTTTTTTTTTTTTTCAAATATATGAAAAATCTGTTGACATGATGTATTGCAGTCGTGAGCTCTCCGCAGGAGTCAACCTATAGAAATTGCAGCTTGTATCATACAGTTCTCTCTCATTATGATATGGGGGCCATAGGGTAGTGTACGACACCATACTGACATGATAAATACATAATAAAATTTAGAGTGTGATTTTTAGAGGGTTTTCACAGGCCTTACCGCACGAAATAGGTCGCATCCCGAGCTGAAGATTGATTATCGACCAATTTGGCGATTTCCCGCCTAAACTGCTGATTGTATTTCTTGATGTTTTTCTTATAGCGCTCCGCACATGCTATCTGACTGTGGTTACACAATTTAAACTAGTCATTCATCATTTCAAACAACAATCTATTATTGCTCAACTCACAAAGGGACTTTGAAGCGCGTATAGCTTGGTTCGGCCTCCAAGTAATGATGCATGACTCTCTTTTTCTCATGAACTGCTGATATATCGTAGTGCGTTACATGTTTTGCATCTGCAGGGTGACGGTGTCGGTACATCTTGAATTTCGAATTAGAGTCAAAGTTGCTAAAGTCGGCTTTAACAGAGAGTGTTCCGCGAACGCTCTTCGCTCTGGGCTCAAACAGGGTGCTTCCCTGACCTATTCCAATCGTAAAGCGGGACGGACGATAGAACATGGAGGACGCTCTCTTGTTCGAGGCTCGATCCTCAGCATTGAAGAATACGGTACGCTTCGTGCTTGGATCACGTTCAAACCACGATGCCTGATTCGTAACGCTAGGCACTGCCATGGTCTGGCGAAACAAATTTGCATCAGCGGTAAACTCTGTGTCTGAAGAAGAGGGGCACAATTTTGACAGTTTCCAGATGCTAGCATCGACCGCCATGGTAAAAATTTTCGATTTCTTTAACACTTGAACAAAAACCAAAAAGAACTAAGACACAACAATAAACAATGCAATACAACAACAACAACTGATAGTAGTGTAACAAATAATACAACGACTCTGAGCTGGAGCTGAAAGTTCTTAATAAGCTTACTAAGTTTTCAAAGAGGAGCATCTATTGGCTCAAGGCTTATTATAAGAGGCTGCTCCAGGGCTTATACATATTTCATGAATCTTAAGCAGCCTCGGGCAACGTTTCATGTTACTAAATATGAGCATATGCTGATAAAATCAATAAACTACAGTTAACCATAATGAAATTATCAACTATGTATCATACGCACATTCACGCACGCACACACACACGCACGCCCTGTGGCGTGGTGCCCAACCCCACGCAGCTTTCAGTTCGGCATTCGCTTTGGAAATATGCAAAATATTTTAACCGAAAAAACCTTTCAAAAGATTGCAGAGGCAGAGGCGCGTGATATGTGTGCGTGGAGGCATGCGACTAAATTTTTGGATGTTTTGTTTGCGCACATGGCGTATGGGTAATTCTATTCAGCCGAYACAAATCTGTGTGTGTGTGTGACCTCTAAAACAAAACTCACTGTGATGAAGTGCCGCCAAGAAACCATAGAAACAGGGCCCAGGGCAAGCAAATAGTTTCGCAGATAAATTCGAAAAACATTTCCTAGGCATCAGTTTGATAATTATTAAATAATTAATTATAATATTAATTCTCAACAAATTAAAATTAATGAGAAATCTGTATTTGGATAGCCGAAATTCTTAATCTGTCGAAATTATAATATTATTATGTATAAATTGAAAAACTATCAATGAGCTCGATATATATGTAATGTTTAACATTTAAATCATTCATTATGATAATGATATATATGCATGTTTATATTTACTAGACACTCTAAATATAAGTTCGCTTTTACTATAAATATTCTAATCAGTTATTTGCCCTAACTTAAACCAACCAAAAGATGCGAATAATAACAGTTTTTAGGCTACATCAGTTCCATGATAATTTCTTATCAAAGCGTCTTCATTTGCTTAATTTGTAAATCTGAATTATTGGCTCGGGCAGTGGAGCCTATGGCGAATGCTGGGCGCTCTTAAGTATAGCATTATTTCATGATTTAATTTTGGCACCCAATTTCCAGCCCTACACAATTTCTATTTGACTTTAGTCTGAGAGTGAGCTCAGCCGCTCGCCTCGCTGCTAAGCGCAACAGAATTTATGGTTTTAATCTTTTGGCTTCGCATTTTTTGCTGCTCGGAGAGAAATGCCTGCCGCAGAGCCAATGCCAAATACGGCCCACGACATGGGCCGAGCGCAAGCTGTGAAGATTTTACGACTCAAGGACGTGGCGCTGACGCTGGCGCTGGAGCAGGCTTCAAGAATATGCCTGGCCTCCATGGCTGCAATGTTGTGTGAGCTTGGATTCGGATTCGGATTTGGATGTGCTCTGTTTTCATTATAAATGAGCAGCGATGTGGCCTACGACCAGAGCGTGGGCGTTAACCGAGGGGCGTGTCTGCCGTTTGCTCTCTGCTAAAAAACAGGCAAGAGTCAAGCGAGCGGCCGAGCAGATAAATCAAATTAAATGAAATGAAATAGTTGAAGATTTTGGCACCGTCTACTCCCATTCACATCGAATAACAAGTAAAACAGTCGACAGCCCGAGCGACGGCTGCAAATGAAGGCAACCCCCGACATCAGCGGCAACAAATATCTGAAAAACTGTCCCCAGACATTCTTGTCATCTTCTCCATCTATCTCTGTGCCCGCGCAGTTCACGCCGTGTATCCTTGCCAAATCAGCCATACAATGTCCTTGGTTGCCCAGCTGCCTCGCTTCCTCGCGGCCTTACGCAGTCCAACCGTCCGTGTAGAAGGGATAACACCGCCTGCTGCCGCCTCGGCCTCAACGGGGTCAACTCATGCGGCACCAGCTGAGTGTATTAAACACATCTGAATAACTGTTAAAAGGATCTGCACAAAAATGCGGAAAAAAATCATTGGCAAGGCCAACAGCAGCAGCAGCAGCAGTTATGACCTGTTAATAGTTCTGTTTACATGCTCCAATTGCCCGAGTGAGAATCGTCTTCATGCGATAAGCCGTAATATATGTATTCGATGAATTTATATGTGTGTGACAACTGAATAGCTTTCGTAGCCCCAGTGGGATCTCTGGTCACGATTGGTCATTGGTCATACGAGCTAAAGCAACTTGGAATGTTATTTAATAATCAGAAATTGTTCTTAATAGTAATTTATAAAGATACATTACTTTGAAGTACTGGAAATATTAAATTAATATACATAAAATTAAATTATATATAAGTAATTTCATATAATCATGCCCAAAAGGCATCACATAAGAGGAGCTTAGAATGATAGGAATATCAGAAATATATATAATTATATATAGAGGTATGATTTATAGAGGGTATGTAATCTTCTGGATTTTATAATAATAAGATTTAATAATACTAGAATAGAATATAATATAACTAGGGAAACTTTCCAATTTTACTGAAAAGTCTTAAAGGCGATGGGAAAACCATTAAGTATAGAAATTGTTAAACAAGTTTAAACATTAAAAAAAAAAAAAAAAAAAAAAAAATTCGAGCTATAGAAAATGCGCATATACATACATATACATATATGTATATATTTTCTAATATATAAATGTATATGTATTAGTATTTTCTTGTAAATAAATAGTGATGGTATAATAATTCTTTTCTTGTAAATAAATATTATTGGTATAACTAAAACATGTGTTTGGCTCAAGTTGTTTGATGTAAGTTTTTACCAAAAATGTAAATTTATGTGCACTTCTTACTTTGGGACAAATATATATGTGTATATGTGTAGTCATATACCAAATTCAAAGTTGTTAGCACCTTAAGATATAGCATTTAAGGCATACAAGATATAGGATTTCTCGATTTGCCGTATCTCCAGATCATGACACATAATATATGGGTCGAATTCCAGCTTATTCTCTTCAATTGGCTCGCATGAATATGAATATTGCACAAACTCTATATACTCTTTTCACAACGTAAACAGGTATGCTCTTGTTTGTTGTTGCAAAATAGCCTCAAAATTATGCTAATAATGCTAGCTGTCAAAATTACGAATAAGATAATGGCATTTTAAATAAGACTCTACATCAGTCGAGTGTATGCTCGTTGGGGAGACAATTCATTTATGTGATAATAAATAGGTATATTATTATGTATATCTGTGTGACAAGCAAGTGAAACGAGTCAGTAGCTGGCGCCTCTGGCTGGCGATTGCCTTGCAGAGAGTCGAGGATTGACATAAATATCGACTGAGGCAGTGGGTCACGTGGCGTTCGGTGTTAGTTGAGCTGTAATATTGGACACGTGGCACACTTATGTGTAACCCAGTGGCAATCGAGGAGCACTTCATATCCTGTCACTGAACAAACAGCCAGCGACATATCCTGGCACACATAGTTGGCGCTTCCCCTGGCAGGATGGCTAAAAATGCAATACTCAAAATACACAACTGTCTGCCTGGCTGGCATTAAACACAAAATGGCAATTTCGTGTTGGCTGTGGCTGCATTTTGGCTGAGTCGATTTTAATAGCGAACGGGACCGCAACTGCCCATCAGGCGAAGAGCAGCCGCAAGGACACGCCAGAGCTCTGCAGCGCTGCCGAAAATCAAATCAAATTGCACACTCAAGTTGCACTGGCAACGCGACGAATCCAAATCAAAATCAAAATCATGGACAAATTCGAATAGGAGGAAAATGGCAAAAGCTAAGGAGAGCTGACTGCGGACTGCAGGTGCCGCTGGGCAGGAGCTGGCTGGCAAAGAAAATGCGGCGATGCGACGAAAAACGGAAATAAAATCAAGCAAATTGAATGCGATGAGTCGAACGTGGGTATACGTGCCAACAGCCATAACAACAGCAATACCAACAACAACAGCAACAACAACAACAATAGCGACGACAACGAGACGACCGATAACAAAAGATGGCTATAAAAAACACTTGAGATCAACGGTAATTGCTGCTGACAAATCCACAGTTGCTAGCCAATACACAGCTGCCGACACACACACACACGCAGATGCTACAAATACACAGATACAAACTCAAATGTCAAGACTGACGACAGCAACCTGCAGCCCCTCACTGTGCCCGAGTCCGGCAGAAAAACAAAGCAGCCGGACAATACGCAATTGTCGGAGTCTGTCGCATTCGCGTCCTCATTCGGAATCTATTTGTGGCTACCCCTACTCCTGCCCCTACCCCTGCCCCTACCCCTGCCTCTACCTCCCTTCAGTTGCAGTCACTCTCCCGCCGCAGCCCCATTCCTGTCGCATTTTCGGCGCTTCCACTCTCTCTGTGTCCATGCATCAGCATCAGAAGGGGCGGCGTGTGAGGCGTGGGCGGAGCGGCGGAAAATGCTTTGGCGCGTTGAGGTTCGCTCTTTGGGCAGCTGCTGTGTCATTTGCATAGTTTCTAGCCGCTGTGTTAATGTCACGCTTTGTGGCCAGCTTTCTGATTTGTTTACCTTTTCAATTGAGTTCGCGTCGCGCTGCGCTAAAGTCGAACATTTCAATTACACTAGACATCGGAGTAAAGCGGCAGCTGACCTAAGCTAAAAGTAGCTAAAGTCAGGTGAAATTAACTGTTCCAATATTATAATATATGTTAATGAAATTTGCTAGTTTATATGATTAAATAATTATTATTTTTTATTTTTTTTTAATATTTTATTTTAT